CTTCGTGCATTAATAAGCAAAACATGGACGGAATGTCCCTTCGTGCATTAATACATCAATACATAATCAAAGCACGGAATGACCGCTTATCGTGCATAAAACAAAACATTGGCACGGAACTTTTCCTTCGTGCCATTAATTTAAGCAAAACATGGCACGGAATGTCCCTTCGTGCATTAATAATCAAAATATTGGCCACGGAATGTCCCTTCGTGCATTAATAGCAAACATGCACGGAATGTCCTTGTGCATTAATAACAAAACATGGCACGGAATGTTCCCTTCGTGCATTTAATAATTCAAAAACATGGCCGGAATTCCCTCTGCATTAATAAGCAAAACATGGACGGAATGTCCCTTCGTGCATTAATAAGCAAAACATGGCACAGAATGTCCCTTCGTGCATTAATAATCAAAACATGGCACGGAATGTCCCTTCGTGCATAATAATCAAAACATGGCCAGGGAATGGTCCCTTCGTGCATTAATAAGCAAAAACATGGCACGGAATGAACCCTTCGTGAAAAACATAATCAAAACATGGCACGGAATGACCCTTCGTGCATTATCACTCTTCCTCACCCAAACAGTAATCACAACCAAACGGGGCGAGGGGATAGGCAAATAATAAGAAACGTCCCGGCAAGGGAAAACACAAGCAAACAGCTAAATCCCGGCAAGAGAGCAACAACAATAATAACTTTCACATACCGGCAAGGGAGATAATCAATATACTCAAACCATCCCGGCAAGGGATTAATCATATCTCTTTCTATTTCTTTCACTTCTTACTCAATAGTCTTTTTATCATTCAATCCAATGCTCCAAAGAATTTACAATTCATAATTAGTCCCCATACTCTTCACATTACATAGAATTCATCAACTAACATGGAGAGTCATAACAATATCAGAATAAGTACAAACCAGGACCCACGGTCATGCTAGACACCAGTGTATAGATACTCGTCACCATGCCTATACACCGTACTCAACATTTAGCAATTAGCAAAATAATACTCTAATCCTATTCCCTCAAGCCAAAGTTAGATCAAACACTTACCTCAAATGCTCCAAAAATCAACTCAAGCCTCTAGTGTAGCTTTACCCCTCGAAATCGGCTCCAGCTCAGTCAAATCTATGAAATAATGACTTTACAATATTAATAATAGCTAAACAAACTAAACCCAATGCCTAAATATGAATTTCCAAGCTTTCTTCCAAAAATTCCAAAATCGACCCCGGGCCCGCTTGGTCAAAACACGAGGTTCGAACCAATTCCATGTCACGCATTCCCCCACGAGCCCGGATATACAATTTGTTTTCACATTCGACCCCAAAACGAGGTCTAAATCAAAGAAAATTGAAAAGCCCTAATTCTACCCTTTTCCCCAATTCTTACCATGAACTACATGATTTAGGTTTAGGAATTTGATAAATGATGATAGAAAATG